CATCTTAAGCTACAAAAGGGGGCTGCTTTCCACGGTTTTCTTAGGCTAAGGAGGGCCGAAAATTTTTGCTTTACTTATCAAGAGAGGTAATGGACGATCAACCTTGAAAATCTTGATTTATGGAAGTAGTAGTGCACATATAAGCTCATGCATGCATGTGGGTAGCTTGTTTATGTTGGAAAAATTATTGTGTGGGCTCTATGAACTCCCACTTGGATTGGATGGACTGATTTGATGAATGATGATGCTATTAATGTTGGTTTAGTACTTAAATTAGTGGAATAATGTTGGGTTGTTGGTAGAAATTCAAGGAAGGTGCAATGAACAAAAGTGACCATTTTATCCCTGCCATGTTCGTGCACTTTGGTGCGAAATTTTGAGGTTCTAATGACTTGTTTGTGATGTATACATGTTATATGAATGGTGTAGAAAGTTTCATTGAAAAATAACATGATTTGGTTGGTCAATTGTAGTGATTTCAAAGGTTTAGCAAAACGGGAAAATTTTCCTGGATTGCCCAGGTAGTCCATTTCTTTCGGCCATAACTTTTTACTCCGATGTCGAAATCGAGTCCGTTTGTGGCACTGGAAACTAGACATTCCCAACTTTCCAACGATATAAAATGCATATCCTGATTCCACATGAGTAATCCGTACCAACCATTTGAACTTGGCTTCCCTGTTTCGTTAGTTCCCTGGAAGGCAGAACATGAACTACAATTTGAGGCTCCAATGTGGACTAGTTGTGGACAGATTTTGAAAATGGTTTCTTCTGAGAAATTCTATTTTTATGAATTTTTTTTCCAACGCCATCAACCATGTCCAATTCCGAGTTGAATTGAGTGATTTGTGGCCGTATTTCGAAACTGACTTCTTGAAGGAAAACCCTCCTTTTGGGCAGAATTGTTACTAAACTTGATTGAGACTTGTTAATTCGAGATTCTTGGTGTTAATCACCTACCAAACCTATCTTGGAATGTTTATTAGACCTTGTCTACACCAATGAACCATGTTGAGGGAATTTCCTTGGCCAAATGCTTGAAAACGGAAAAACGAAAGTCCAAGGCAGATTTGCCTTGGAACTTCTTGGGATTTTAGTGGTTTCGTTAACCGATTTCTCGTAAATATTTTTCTATGAATTTTGGCAGAGGAGTAGCCCTTATATGGCAGTGTATTCATACAAAATTTGGTGCCGTTCCGAGTCCGTTTCGATACCTAACCAAAGTCCCAAAATTTGAAGTTTAAATCTGGAATTTTGTTTAACAGTTTCGATTTTTCACCAACTTTGAGCTGTCATATCTTGGTGCTCAACACTCCGACTCTTGTTCTGTTTATTTTGTCTTAAACTTGGATTACAACTCTAATAGATTTCCAAATTTCAGAGGTTAGTTCAAATCAAGTGAATTTTGCCGAATTTTCAAAATTGGCCAAAAACCGACCTAAACCTGTCTCAAGTGCCCCAAAACAGCAACTTTGAGCTAAATTTTGAATACTTTCCATTTGGAATCATGGAAAAGTGTATTCTAGGAACTTTTAGTACTTTGGAAGGAGTTTCCAACGGTATCAAATTTTCCAATTTTGGACTTGTAACGAGTGAGATACGATTTTTCAAAGATCTCGTATCAAAACTAAAATTTCCAAAACTTAAGGGAAATATAGTTGTTCGAATTCCCCTTTTCCCTCAATATCACTTGAACGTTTTACCCTTGATTTCGAAAGCGAAAACTCGATTTCTCTTGTACTTTTGAAACCCCTCTTTTGGGCCTCAATTTATGAATAAATTAGGCTCACTTCCGAGAAATGTTCTCGGATTGTACTTGTGACGCCCCGAAAAGTATTAGTGTGAGAACCCGAAAATTTTCTAATTTTCTAGGGTTTATTTTATTTAATCGCCCGCCTTTTCTACAGTTTCTTTATTAGAAAAATTCCCCAAATAAAGTTTATGAGCAAAAATAGTTTTAAAATGATTTTTCTAGTATCGGTTAGTTTTTGAGAAATTAAGAGCGTATTTTGAACGTGGGACCCGCAAGTGCGGTAAACGCAATATATTTTTGACAACTTCTTGGAATTTTGTATTTAGTGATATTATTTTACAAGGTGTTAAGATATTTGTATTGGAGAGACAAAAAGATAAGTTTTGAACCAAAAGGTGACAAGTGTCACCATAAGATTAAGTCTTGGACTTTGACCATTTGACTTTACCTTTACCTTTACCAAATAAATATCAAAAAATTGCCAAAAATCATCCTTATTTCTAAAGCTTCATAGCCGGCTCTCTCTCAAAGGAAAAGAAAGAAAAGCTCTCAATTTCTTCCTTCTATTTCTTGCTCAATCTTCAAATCCAACCAATAAAACTCCAAATCATTCCATAAAATCTCTTTGCTAAGTGGTCTTGAGGTGTTTTCTGGAGTTGTTTGGAAAGCTAAGGTGATTTGTTGCTCTATCTCTTGTATGGCTAAGGTGAGTTGTGAAGAACCACTCTCCTCCCTTAATTGATGTTCAATTCATGATTGGTGGTGGTATAAGATGCACTTTTATGGATTATATCTTGATTTTGGTTGAATTGGTGAAGTTTTATAATTATTGGGGATTTTTCTGTTTTCATATGAATATGATTATGGGGTCATGTATGATGATTGGAAATGATGTTTAATGACTCTAGGAGGTGGAAAAAGTGATTAATTGCAACCAATTTCTGTTTTGGACCAAAAATTGAAAAGTGAGGGTTTTGTGATGAACATTCTGTCCGAATTTTTAGGTCATAGATAGAGGCCGAATTGGCCTTGGCTCAAAACATGAAAGTTGTAGGTATTGATGTTTTAAGGGTGCCTGTAAAATTTCAGGTCAATTGGAGTAGTGTAGAATGAGATAAGCCGAAATTACTATTGCTGTTCTGGGTTCATCAGGATGTTAGAACTGTGTCCGAAATGGGTTGTTTTGACTGGAATTGTTTTGGATTTGGGTGTTGAGGTCTTCTGATGAAATGTAGCTTGATGTCCTAGCTACCATATGCCTTTGGAATTTCTGCATTTGGACCTGTTTAGACTGAGTTGTACTGATTACAGCATAGTGTAATTTGTAAACCTGTAATTACGGTTCTGGTTTGTTATTTGGCATATTTGACTTAGTTGTGCTGGGATTTGGACTGAGTGACCTTCTACATTTTTGTAGCCCTGGTTCTTAGCTTCGAAACGGTGGGTCTTGGACCTCCATCCGATACTCGTAGTACTTTTGGTGCCATTACCGCAAAATGACGTCAAAACTGTTTTTTCTGGTTTTGAGCTTAACTTTCATTTCCGGACTTTTCCCTAGCTTGACTTGTACTAGTACTACTTGGAACTTGCTGAATGACTATTAGATGAACTTGTTGTTGTGTGTGTACCTTTGGGACTGGCTGAGGAAATAATGAAGCCTTGATGGCTGGAAAAGTAAAGAAATTTAGGGGAAGTGTTGTCCGAACTTTGAAGGGATTTGTTTGCATTGAGTTTGTGATCTAAGACTCGGATTTGAGCAAGGCAATGATATATGATGGATGGTTTCTGAGCCATGGAGGTGAGTGACCCTAAACTATTTCCAAAGTACTTGTGAAATGTTTCTTACATTATTTACTTTTGAACTGTTTCCAAAGCTACTTTTGAACTGTTTTCTTGCATATCATGCGTGCTTATATGAAAGTGTTCCTTGTTTGATATATTTTCTTAACTTCATGACTTGTATTATTGATTGATAACGTGTCACGTGCTTTGAATGATTTTCAAAACGAGCTTTCTAGGCGAGTATGTATTTTATCGCACTCGACCTCAATCAATGTGAAATTTTCATGATAAATGATTAAATGCTACTTGCGCATGAATGTAAGCCTTTTGGGCTGAACTGGCCATTGCCCCTTGTTACCGGTCGTCTCGAGCCAGAAACGGACTCGGTCGGACGATTAGGGACCTGGGTGAACGTTTGGTATACTCGAGTATTACCTTTGTAGGTTGGTGGAGGTTGGTGGAAAATGATGCAATTTCAAATGAAAAAAAAAAAGAAATGACAGGAGAACGAACGTATCTTTTCATGAATGTTACTATCGCTTTCCATTGTACATGTTTCTTGAATTATTGATACTCCATATTTAATGTTTTGTAAATGTTGTAATTGTTTCTGGACTTATCATTTGATTTATGACATCATTGAAAAGAAATATTGTTAAACCGATTTAATTACTGATTTTCTGGTTACTCGCTGAGCTTTTAGCTCACCCCAAAAATATTTTATTCCCCTCCACAGGGCTCAAAGCGAAGGAAGGCTTGTAGTACTTGTGCGCGTGATTGGATGGCCTTTATGTTGTACAGTTTGGATTTGGAATCATTTTATGTATAGTTGGGAATAGTTTCCGCTGCATTTGTGACATGTAATTATTGGAGAATGTGATGTAATATTTGAGATTTACATTGTAATTCATTTGAGGATTGTAGTGAACGACTGAGTCCCGGCGAGAGCTGGGCAGGCGGCTCGCCGAACCCTCTGGTTCGCCTCAGGGGGAGGTGGGGCTGTGACAGTACAAGCGTACACTCATACATGATAATTGGGGTTTATAAATTACAATTCACTATTAATTTGCTCAGGCTCGAACGAGAACCTTCAAGAGGATCCTACGGTGGACACCTGAATTTCAAGTGACATTTCTTCCTTGTTTACTTGGTGAGTGTCAAGTGTATGATTACTTAAACTCCTGTGAACTTGATACATGCTTACCTGTAACCAATGATCAAAGATTTTGAAAACGGAGTCGAGTGTGTACTTTATCGCACTCGTTCTCATTTGAAACAAATAATTCATGATTAACTTGCTTGACATGAAATGAATGACCTGTTTGACAATGACATGACATGAATGCTTGAATGTATCAAATGCTTGCTTGACCTGAAATAGTATGCTATGGCTGCATACGTCGCTGGAGTGAATCTTTCTATTAAACTGAAACCGGTTTGAGCTCTATTTCCAATATGAGGACTTCATCATGCATCAGAAGCTGTCTTTGGCCTGCTTAGTGATTTCTCTATTATAAGGCGTCTATTTATTAAGCAGGTACAGCATTATTCGTGATTCTTATCTTCTCCACCTTTTCATAAATTCAAAGTGAGAACATATTCAACCGGAATGATGCTAATAATATAAAGAGGGAAGAAAAAGGTCCTTACTTTTCTTTCAGGGGGTAGGGTTGTCATCCATTCATCTCTTTTAGGTTCCACCTTAGCCTCCATGTCAGCTAAAAGTATATCATCACCCTCCATTGATATACCTGCAGTTTAAGTGCTCTAAGAATTCAGTGTGCAATGATAAACAAAATATTTTGTTTCTTGGATATATGAAGTTTTCATGCACAAAATCAGCCCAGTGTGCCTCCTTTCAGCAACAACAAGCAGGCTAGTATTACAAACTAATTTCCTTCAAAATATACTGTGAAAGGCTTTAATCCAACTCTCCATCCCATCAATAGCTTAACGACGAGACAAGCAAGACAGTAACCAAACAAATATCCACACTAACTAGATTTACAACAAAATAATCATCATTCTCAAATTTGGTCAACACAGTGAAAACCAAACAACTAGAAGTAACTGCAACATAATAATTGCACATCTAAAGCATAAAAGAAGAGAAAATACTCTTGTATCAGTCTTCAGCTAATGCTAAAACATTTTAGCCTTGTGAAAGATGAGTCACAGTGTAAAAAGGCCCTTTCAGGGTGCATTTCCTTTTCACGACCATAACATAATTGCATACAGAAGACATACAGCAGGAAATACTAGGGTGAAAAATGTACAATAAAATTGATCCACCACATGTCCTGAGTCTTCAGCTTTCTCTCGAACATTTTATGCTTCTGAAAGATGGAAAGCCATACTATAAAGAGGCTACATGGCGGCAAATAGACTATGTGAAAGTGTATGTAGAACAAAATTCAACTGTAATTATATGGAAAAAATGTCTGTGCAAAGATAGCTCAGCCATATAAGCTTTAGTCTTCAGCTTTTAGTCACACATCTTAGCATCGTGCAAGATGAGACAGGGCATAGGGAGCCTTAGTAGCAAGCTCCATCCTTTTGTACCATAACTTGATTTTAGACAATACAAAGTATCAACTACTAGTACTGGAAAAACTAGAGTCAACGAAACATAGCGCAGCCTCAATTAATCTTGAGTGAAAGGAAATTCAGAATCAGTAATGTCTCACTAGTCCAATTATTCTTAAATGATTTTTCTAAAGCATTATCACTCCCCAACTGTCCCTCCATTAGGCAGGAATATGGTGGCCCAAACAAAAGTTTGGGATCCAATTTGGAGTTCTTTAATTGTAAAAGAAAAAAGTGTTATTTGTAGCATTTAATCATCCTTTGAGCCAGTGATCCTTCAGTCAGACAAAGCACAGCACATTGGTTCTCTTTCCCTAATGAAATATGCAGTTCTGGACATAAACCCAATATATTCAAATTCTGGAATGGATTGAAATTATCATCTTTTCTTGTTGTAATAGTAAAGGCACCACAAGTGTGAGGTGACCAAATATGCATGTCAGAGAGAGAGAGAGAGGCAGACAGCACATTTTCTTATGCAACCAAAAAGAACAGTGATCACAATATTCCCCAAAAAACAAAAAAAAATAAAAAACACTTACCTTGCAAACGTCTCCAGTGTGCAGCTTCTTTCATTGCTTTCAATTCCGCCTGTATTGATAATAACCTTTCTATCAATAATACGATTGGAAAGGAGAAAGTACATTGACATTGCCAAGATCACTGCAAAAAATGTACCTTGAATTCCTCTTGTTCCTCTTTGAGCTTTATTTTCTCATCCAATGCTTTTCGCTATAAAAAAGATGATGAAGTGGAAACAAAAGACAATATCAAATCTTCTTCACGTAAAGTTACATGCAGTAGAAAATACAAAGTCCTGAAACTACATCAGATAAAAAGATATAAATACACGCAAGGTTCTTCTCAAAAATAATTCGCACAACTTATGAAACACAGTAGAAGCAACCAGTGACGTTTATCAGCTATCTCATCCCTATTACTGTCAATGAAATTTTCACTCATTGGCAAAGGCGCTTAGTTAGATGTATTCAACAAAATGACAGACTGAAAAAATCAAAACTTCTAGCAAGTAAAAGAGTGTTACAAGGTGCAAGAAAAAAAAAGTTAAGTTTCGTAATAGTTCCCCTTATTTTTCCTTCAACGAAAACTTTGGGCCAAATGCTCCATCAAAACCACATCACTGAAAAATCATCACATAGCTAAAGTAGAACGCCATGGAGAGCAAGAGTGAGAGGAAAAGACAGAGATCGTGTAGAATGTACCAAAAAGTAAGTAATAGAATAAAATTCTCTTGAAGCACTACTATTGTACAACACTCACTTTATCTGGATCCTGCAAGTCTTTAAAAGCCTTGTTCAACTTCACAAATGCTTGGTGGGCCTGTGGATGAGAGCATTTGTCCGGATGTACCATGAGGGACAATTTCCAGTACCTACAAGGAGAAAAAGAAGACCAGTTGACATATAAAACAAGTCAAAACAATCAAATTTGTCAATCTCAGACATCTAGCAGTGGACAATCCAGCATGCATTTGCAGAAATGCAAACCAAGACCCCACCCCGCAACCCCTCCAACCCTCCCCGCCCGACAAAACAAAAAAAAAAAGAAAAAAAAAGTCAAGAGAACCTCCCATACCAAGATCTATACAAGAGGCATAATTATACTGCCTCGCAATACCATATTTTCTGCATAAAAGGATAAGTTCAACAAGGATAACTATCTCCACATCCTGAAAGTTGTTGTCTTGATGAGGCGGAAGCACAAAACAAATCAAAAAAATCAATCGTGTCAAAGTTATAGGTTTCTTAAGGGGGAAAAAAGCAGGGAGAAGGGGGGGGAGGGGAGTTCATGCCTAAGACAAACTTTATATGCCTGCTGGTTGAGTCATTCCCTTGTAAGCAAGAACTTTTTTTTTTGCCTAACAGATTGGAATTCTATTTGCAAGTAACTAAACGAAGGAAACTACTAACAAGACGATCAAGCACCAAACTAGAAAAGGAAATTTAACCCAAGTCCTGAAATTAAACTATAGCAACAGTCACATAACCAATCTACAGCACATGACCTGAAATTCTTTTGCATTTAGAAACAGAACCAACAGTAGATATCATGGTATATAGTCTCACAAATAGACTGGTTGAGTCCAAAAATGTTGTAGTTCATGGATTAAGACAATTTTTTACACCAAAAGTATTCTTGTAGACTTCATGTCTTTCTTGAGGATTGCATAATAAAATCATGCAGCAATGCCTAAAGTTTCCTAGAAGAGATTCCTAGAGTTCCTGAGTCGTTCTCATTATCAATCTTAAATTCTTGTGGTTTCTCTTTACTTTTCTATTCATGTCTTGTTGAACTCTATTCCTCAGTTTTTCTGCCAATGCATCTAAAATGACTGTCAGCCTACCAACAGTTTTCAATGCTGCTTCTTAACGATTATATCATTCACAGAAAATTGAACAGTCGCATTCCAATAGATCCAAACAACACATTTAAAGGTAAATTTTAAAAATACAGACAAGAAGGTACCTTTTCTTCATGTTTTCGGCTGACATATTCTTGTTCACTCCCAGAATATCATATGGACTATCCACCTCAGCTCCCATAATTCTTGTAATCTGGCAAATGGAAATAACAATTGAAATGAAGAGATAGCATCCCTGATTCAATGACAGCATGTAAGCAAATGCATTATGCCCTCAACACCCTCACTGTAAATATGTATCACCATTTTTATGGAGACTGGCCACGACAAAGATAAAATTCCTGCAAACATACATTCTACTATATTAAACCTATATCTTTGTTACATGCAATATGCAGCAGCTAAAGCATAAAAGAGCTGCACTATCCACATGACAATAAATTTTTGACTCTTTTCGCATTAAAAAAAGTCATACCAATAATGAATGCAGAGATAGAAAGGGAGACAGGGAGGGGGGAGAGAAAGAGAGAGAGAGAGAGAGAGATGGAGGGAGGAAGAGAGAGAGAGACTGCACTAAATATCTTTAGAAGCTCTTCAAGCTTTATAATGTGCTTAGAATACTTGCATATTAGTATTATTTTCAAGGTTCTGAAAAATGCAATGTGCAGGTACACTGTTCTTAGCCAAAACAGACACCATAAAGGGGAAACCAAAGGAAATCATCATTTGCAAAGCTTCCACAAGATGGACTAAAGAAAGACCCATATGTACATTTTCAATCAGCAGCTATCAATCTCTACATATATTCTACCATGCATTTTTTACACCCTGTGCAGTTAAGAGACTATAATTCAAGTTGTTGATAACAGAACCCTTTTCTGTTGGTAAAATATACTGTGACAAGTGCTTAAAAGCTCTATACTCAACCTACAAAAATAGATATGTGTAGTGGTCAACAAGTTTGACATACTCAATTTGATCATGGGTCATAAAAACTTATCGAACCTACGTAACATAGCAATGTTACAAAAAAACTCATGACATGAGGTAATGTTTATTGCATGGTATGATAATAAGAGCAACATGCATAAGAAACCTAAAAAAACAGCACAAGCGTGAAGAATTTGTATCCTTGTGATGGAACTAGCAAAAGGTCTTTAGAATGCCCTAAAACAGAAGCATACAAACCAAACAAAAACTGCCATAAAAAAAAGTACAAAATAAAGAGACTATGGGATGATGAAACAAGGGGAAGAATTAAAATCTGTTAATGGTGACAAATAAATATGTATATGGAGTGAAATATATAAAAAAAGGTATATGGAGTGAAATATATACAAAAAGGTACCTCTTCAAATCGTTCTGCTTCATTTGATGATTCAACTTCAGAAACAAAAGCGGCGGGAGGAGGCCCTATAAACAATTCAGAATCGTCCACTAACTCAGCCTCTCTAATTTCAACCATCAATAAACATAAATAAGTTAGCAATGTTAGTAGCTTCAGAAGTTCACCGTAAGATGGCAAAAAATGCCTAAAAGCTTGACTTCCACAAGGAAAATCCTTCTACAGAATACAAATGCAGCCATTAACTCTTAAAATTATAAAATTCAGCAATACCTCAACTCAGCTTCTGCTTCAGTTAATTTGGCTGCAGCTGCAAGTAGTTCAGCAGATGGCATTTCAGGGCCAATTACCCTAAAAGAACAAACAAATTTGAAAACAATGGATTCAGAAACTTAAAGAAACTAGAATTGTACCAAAAAGATGAAATTTATTTTGCACTTATAATAGAGAGTATGCTTTTCAAACTTTTCAATGCATATCAAAGCAGGCACACCAAACTGAAGGACAACTCAAAACAAAAAAGTTTTGAAAGTAACAATAATACAGCATAGTAAGTTAACATCACGCTGCATATAACATCACATAACTCAAAAAAAATATTCATTTGATTAAGCAAAGAAAATAGGACCGTAACCATTTCCGAATGCTTGTTCAAATATACCAAGAAAGCAGCAAATTGGATATGCTGCAGAATTTGTGACACAAAAATGAAAAGGAAAGTTGGATAGTTAAGATATATAGCAAGGATATCGAGGTACCTTCGTCTAGGACCAATGGCATCTTCAGATGATTTAGTCATGTTGGCATCTGGTCCATTTCTGCCATCTGGTGATACCGAGAGCAATTCGTTCTCCAATGTACAATGATCAAGCTGCTGCTTTGAAGACTGTCCGTAGCCATGAATGACAGGTCTAAGAACCTCCAATGTAGGATGGCCCTCTGATTTCAGTAGAAAGATATTATCACCAGTTTCTTTAAGGTTCAGACATAGAAATAGCCTTCTCAGGTGCTTCACCAATGTTTTTTCTGACAATCCCCTTATATCAACTGCTTGACCATCATCTATCATGTGTAGAAGCTGGAAACACAGTATTTTGCAATAAATTTAGTATCATTCACTAGAACCTTTATCCTAACCCATTACATGAACATTTCTCAAAAGGGTGGCACTTCAACACAAAATAAAACTTTTCCAGTAAGCCATTATATGGAACACTTCCTAAGAGGGGGCGGTTCAACACAAAATTTACAAAACAGATGCGATTGTTTTAGCACAGATCAATCATAGTAAACAGCATTTGTACAAAACAAAATGAAAAGGGTAGATTTGGCACATAAAGTAGTAGATGCTCACAATTGATACCGTTAACCAATACGAATTGCCCGAATATTCAACAGTTCAATAGACAAATTTCAACAAAACTTGAACTAATAAGTAAACAAATAGATAACCGCTATACCTGTTCCAAATCTCTGGAGACAGCAGGAAATTCCTTCAAAATACATTTGACAACGCCATCCGGATTCTCCAATCCAGAATCATCATCATCCCCATCTGACCTAGGCAACGACTCTGCCACTTCGGACTCATCCGAATAATATTTATGCTTCTTTCTCCTCTCATACTTCTTCGATTTGTGCTTACTTCTCCGTTCCTTTTCCTTTCTTTTCCTCCTACTGGATGATTTTCTGTCTTTCCTCGAAGAGGATTTCCTAGGACCCCTATCGTCGCCACGGCGGCGTTTGTGGCTTCGCTTATTATCATCATCCTCTTCGGAAGAAGAGGATTGAGGTGATGATGATGAAGCGTCGTCGTATTTCTCTTCCTCTTCTTCTCTATGGCGCTTTCTTCTGCTACTGCTAGTAGATTTAGCCATGGATACTGGAAAGAAACGAAGAGTATCGAATGTGTAGTTTCGAAATTGGGAGTCGAATGATATACAAAGGACCTTAAATTTAGGAATATAAAATTAGGTTAATTACATTTACCTACCCTGTGGTTCAGCCAATCTATGAATCAGGCCTTAAAGTTTAATCAAATAACAAAAAGGATCCTTAAAACTCAGAATATTGTTACAATCCCCCCCACCCACCCACCACCCCTTCCCCCAATTAGTCAGGCTCCTGAAGGACCACTCTAGACTGGATTGGTATTCCCTTTGTTGTTTAATTCTTTTATTCTTAAATTAAAAATTAGGAATGATAAAATAACGAGTGCTCTAAAGGAGACCCAAAAATAGGCTCCAGCATGGTCTTTGCTAAATTCTAAATCTTAAATCCGACAAACAAAGAAATCCAAAGGAATTATTTTTTTCAAATATAAACACAACAAATGCTATGTAATCAACAAAAAAACCTAAATATCAACTACTTCATAGCAATGAGATTTCAATATCGTATACATTCAAAGTAATGATCTATTGTTAGGCTTCTGTGATGGGTATATTTGTAAAAACAGAAGATGACAATGGACGAAGAGTGGTTGACGAGGAAGCAAATTGGTTGAAGGAGAAGGAGAAGATAGCACTAAGGTCGGAGGAAGTATCTACTGACAGCAGAGAAGCAGGAAAGAAAAAGCAGGAAAGAAGACTTTCTTGTTACTTAAAATCGTTATTTATTTCCTTTCTCTGTATTTGTTTTCTTTATTTTTTTAGTTTGAAAGTTTTCTTGAATATGTTTCTCTTAAATTTACCTTTTTTTTACAATTTTCCTTATCTACTAAAATTTTTTTGAAAATATTTAGGATTTTTTTTTCCAATTTTTGCATTTTTCTTTTTTCAGTAAATATTTTGTTAGTCCATTCTTTTATTTCTTAAACCTACTTCTTTTTTCCTTTTTTATTGAGGGGATGATAGAAACCACACATAGTAGAAATCTCTATAAAGAAAGTGGTGCAAACCCTTTTTTATTTTCATTTTTGGGATTTATGTTATATATTAGGATTTTTCTACAATGTATTTAAAACATTAAAGAGTAGTGTGAAAAGATAAAAAGGGCCGCAAACAAATAGACAAGTGGTACGTTAGTAAAAACAATGTAGTATTAAAATAAAATTAGATATGCATTTGAGCAAGTCACATAGCTAAGCTTCTGGTTTGAAATGTTAGAGGGTCCAATGAAACTGTGGCAGCTCGCCAAAAACTACAATTCAAGGGTAGGAAATGAAGATTTGTCAATATATGTAGAAATGTTATAAATAAATAAGTGTGTACGTATCAAACCAATAAAAAAGAGGTGAAAAAAAGTAAAAATAATAACTAGAGCAAATCGCGCAAAATGTCACTAAACTATTGTAATGTGCCGCTTTTGGTCATTATACTTTTTTATTAGTCAAAAATGTCACCGAACTAGTAAATTTATACCGTTTAGGTCACTCCGTGTATTTCTATCGTCATAAGAGATAAAAAGAAACTTTTTCATGGGCAATTTCATCTACATAACCGTTTCCTTGAAGCTCTCCAATATAAATTGCCCTTAAACGTGCTAGACAACTCCCAAGTTCAAGAAACTATTCTAATTAATCATGCAAATTCCAGGTAAAGCCCAATAATCATAAGAAAAAAATTAAAAGAACAAAAGAGGATACCTCAAAAATTTAATAATATAGTAAATCATTTTTTTTAATATTTGTCCTTTAGAAAATCATTACAGCTAATGTCGTTGCCCCAAACTATGGACACTGGAACGCAAAAAGACAAATGAATTTTGTAGCCATGCATGAAATGATAGAAATAGTGAGACAAAATTGTGAATGAACAAATTATGCCTAGCAAAGACTGAAAATTTCTAACAAGTAAAAGGGAAAGATGTGTGATGCCACCAAAAAAAAGTTTTCCATTTGCATAAATTTGATAAAAATGCGCATGTGTGGGAGAAAACATCAACGTCAAAGTTCACAACTATCAAAAAGAGTAAAATAAAACAAATTATGAAGTAGTGCATGGGAAATGTTGGTCATTAGTCATAATTCTCCACTTGGAAAGTATGTTAGACCTCACCTAACACACCCCAACAACAAAGAAACTACTGACAAAGGCAATAATCTCAAAAGTTTGATACTTTCAAAAGAAAAAAAAATGTCCATTCATTGTCTAGTGGCTTTCCTTTCAGTTTCCTTCTTTTCCCACCAATTCATTGAAGACAAACACAAGAAAGACAAAAAATACAAAAAAAAATAGTCAAAAATAAAAGGCAAATCCCATTTCATCATCCAAAAATAAAAATAAGCATTTCTATTTTTTTTGCTTTTTAAGAAAAGAATGTGAAAATTTCTAGTACTCACTGATTGAAAACAACGGCGAGAATCCCAAAGTTCATAGGTTCCTCCACGAAAAACTTCAACTCTGCAACCCTTTTAGTAGTGGCGAACCTCGCCATAGGAGCACCGGTCATCCCATCTCTCAACAACATGCTAGTCGCACCACCGGAGGCCATAATAGCTTTGCAACCCCTATTGGTGTTAGCCACCAGACACCCTCAGTCGTCGCTATTGGCACCATATACTCTCTACCATCAAGTAACAGAGGCTTAGCAATCCCCACCGGCAATTGTACGTACCCCACCGGCATTTTGTAGCACTATCCCAAAATCGACTCATAATCAAACCCAATAGCAACCCCTCCAATGACGCGCCAGTAATCCTTTGCTGCACTTCTCTCCTAATAGCAGCTGCCTTCTTACAATCCTCGAGCTCCATCCCTTTGCCTTTTCACCCACTTTGCTACCATCGATCATATGTGCTTTATTTCTAATTTTCGTCTTCGGCCAGTGCTTTGATTCTTCTCATTGGTTACTTTGATTTTGTTGGATTAATGCGGCAACTTTTCTCATAGATTGTTTGCTTTGTCAAAAATTTTGCCAATATTCTAAACCCTACACCCAACTCACCCCACTGTTGTCCTTTCATTGCCACAAAAAAGTTGTGTAGATGAAATTACCTGAAAAAGTTACTTTCTGTCTCTCCTAATGTCATAAATAGACGAATGACCTAAACGGTACAAATTTACTGGTTCGATGACATTTTTAGCTAATAAAAAAGTTTAGTGACCAAAAGTGGCACATTGCAATAGTTTAGTGATATTTCGCGCAATTTGTTCTAACAACTAATCAATACATTCATCCTGGATCTACCAAGTGATATGTTTCAAAAGTTGTGGTATAGGGAGTGGGGGATCTACGAGCATAGCTAAATATAAAGATTATTTTCACAAAAATGAAAGGAAAATGAGTGGAAAAAGGTGGAATAATTTATAGGATTGTTGGAAAGGAACCATTGAGAATCTGAGATGGATGGTGATGGTAGAAGATAGAGTTGCATGAGAATCTTGGAGTGCAAAAGCAGTGGAGAAAAAAATGCAAGGTAAGTAATACTTTATAACAGGATGCATTGTTTATAGTTGCCAAAATAGAATAAGAAGTTGGTTCTGATGTTGATAATTCAAAGTTATTGCATGATAATATGGTTCACTATGGGAGACCTGTGGAGTGTGAAAGTAGTATAGATTCCATGATATTGGAGAATGTGTGCTAAAAACTTGATATATTAACTAATAAAAATAGGGACCAGTATGAAGCCTAAAAAGCTAGAATTTAGTCTATTGAAGACTTAAAGTCCCAAGACTGAAATAACGATTGTTTGGGTTGATTGACAATGTTATCTGCAAATTAAAAACATTAAGAAATACACATACTCTTGTGTGATGCAAATAAGTTTAGGAGACTAGAGCTTAATTAGATGCGAATAAGTTTGTGAGACTTGTGCTTATCCATCATCTACTACCTATCACATACTCTTGTGTGATATGTATGGTATGCATTCATTATTATTATTATTATTTTGCTAAGTTGATTTGTAACTAAATATACCATTGCTTTTTTGTCTATTTGTATTTGTAACTAAAGTTAGTATTAATCTTGAGTTAAAGAGTTGAACAACAAAATTTATACATTATTTTTGACAAAGGAGGAATCAGAACTAAATAAATTCTAGCAAAATAGTATAATTGAATGAGTGATTAAAATCAAGTTTACCCAGTACATCTAAGCTAACTTTTAAAACCTCAATAAAGAGAGATCTGTGCCACCATATATAATGAATATTATATTTTTTATAAAAAAATCATTTTTTACATTCATTGAACTAGAAAAAATAATTTTACTTCTGTAATCCATGCAAGATGCAATACATATAATATTCCTGGTTTACTCTTCTCCAATGCTTATACTATTAAGGTGTGTTTTAGGTAAAAGTAAGCTTTGAAAGTGAATAGAAGAGAATTAGCAACTAAATTCTTTATGTAGCTTATTCATGTATATGATTAAACCTACAAATTATAGTGTATTCTGATGCTTAGGAACAAGACTAGTTGATAACTCATCACATGTTTTATCAGGTGTTGGCAAAAGAGTGTTGTTTGAATTGAATTGGAAACTTGACTATAATACAGATACAAATACAGATAAAGATAACCCACAAAGTGGAGTTTCAAATGGAGGAGATAAAGTTGAGAAGGGTGATGGATTGGGAGAAGCAATTGATGTGGACCACATAATGAAACTAACATTTGACACGGAAGAAGAAACGGGAGAGTCTATAATTTGTATCCTAAGCTAATTGGATTTGGAATTCATAAAAGGAATAGCAAACAAGATGCAAATGACATGACAAAGTTTCAAAAATGGGCATGTTGTTGTGAAGGATATAGGGATAAGAAGTAGTTCAACTTTGAAAACAAGAAAAGTGAAGCAAAACCAATTACAAGAATAGGGAGTGAGCTTGCATTTACATAAAACATGATATAGGATCTCTAAAGTATATAACTACTGTATTTGTTATGGTGCACAATCATCCATTGATGTCAGAATCTAGTGTCTAACACATTAGATCTCATTGAAAAATTATTGATGATGCTAACTATACTCAAGTCAAAAGCAT